CAAAGTAAAACTAGGACCATATTATGTTTGCAACCACTGACGAACTACGTAACCAACAAAATTTCTTCACGTGTCACTAGGTACTAAATAACAGTACGAGCTGATTAATACTCACTGCATAAGTAAGTTTTTTCATTTTATGTCGTTGTAAATCATGGTTCGGTCAGTTAATACCTACCTATGTATTACTGCCTAATTACTAATCAATGGTAAAGCTGTATACTTTTCGTAATCTTTTATTAGTAACCTACCTTTAGAGCTTTATTCCATGTATTTCTGATGAAAAAAAAATCATAATTTTCTAAAAAATACTGCGCAACCATAAAAATATCCACTTTTGGCAGATTAGCTGACTGTCTTTTTTCAAAGCCCGCTTCCATTTTCTTTTTTATACAGCACTACACACCGTGACTATACATATAAATATAATCATATAAAAGCTAAATGTTCAATACTTTAGTTTATAAATCAAATCAAATAGTTCATTTGTGATTCACAGTTTACAAAAAGGTCTTATTTAAACACAAATAAAGTTCGGTATGTGATCAGCCTTATGGGCATACAAATGTCAAATATTATTATTAGTTCATTGATTACATTATTCATAATAATGGATTATGAATAATGTAATCAATGAACATTTTGTGGCATTCTTTGGGGGAGGCCTATGTTCAGCAGTGGACTTGTGAAGGGCTGTAATGATGATGATGATGAATAATGGATTAGATTATTAGATTAAATTATTCATCTTAAATAATATTGATTACATTGGATTAGATTATTCATGTTAGATTAAATTATTAGATTATATTATTATATTCATAAATTACGAGTATTAGTTCAAAATGATTATATAGTCGTTGGGTTTATTATAACTATTAATAATTATGTCAACCGGACATTAACTCTGACATTCGATATAATATGTAGGTAAACGACCGTATACTTCCGAGCACGCGGTTAGTACTGAACTTAGCAAGTACCTACTGCGCGTTCGCTCTGTCGGATTGTGACGTCACGTTACAGAGAACGAGCGGGTAAATTTTTTAAAAATATGCGAAACCTCAAAACGTTATAACTTTCGTATTTCTGTACCAATTTGGATGAAACAAAAACTATTGTTATTTTCATAAACATAGCTTTAAAGCTATGTAGGTTTTATTGTCAAATTAGAACATGTTGGTGTGACCCATTCAAAATTTAATTTGTTAAAAGAAAATTAGTCTAATTAAAAATAAAGACTGAAAATGAAGCTTAATTTATATTTATTTTTTATTTCGAGTTTTACAAGAAAAGTGTAATACTTACTGGAGACAATTATTTTATATTATAATAGTACATGATATTCCCTTTAAAATGATACCAATATCAATAATATCTTACGTCTTATATACTCAATATACATAAGTATATAATATTTGCCCAATACAAATTTTTAAATAAGTAAATAAATAAATAAAAATAAGTTTTAATAATTTCTAGACACATCTCCACAGATATTTCGTTTATAAATTTGATAGCAATTTATAAACGTGTTATTAGTGAATCATTCTTTTATATTTAGCATTCATTTAACACAAAAACTGATGAGAATACATTTTAAACAACATATTATAATCAATAAACGATGATCACGTATAGTGATTAAAATTTCGAGCTAAATTATTATATGTAAACGTTTTGGAATTGTCATAATGATACATATTTACTAAAGAAAATATCTTCAAAATTAGTTTGATGTACAATAATATTAGAAATAACGTATAAAAACAAAAGTTATCACATTTTTGATCGAATTTCTCACACTTTAACATTCGACAAACAAAAATGGCGAAATTTAATTTTAACTTTTTTTTTCTAAATATTTTGTTACTATTATACAGATAAAATTCACTTTCACAGATGAAAAATTTCATATAGCACCATCTATAATTTTTTACTGTATTAATAACAGCTATATTTTGCGCTGTACACGTTTAAACCGAAAGATGTCGTTTGGTTACTATAGTCACCATGGACAGGTGTGGCAATAATTGTTTTTGGGGACTGTAGTCACCGTGGACGGTTGAGTAGCTAGAATATTGCAATGCAGTGGACGATATGAATGACAAGCTCGTGGAAACTATCCATGCGATTAGAGCTAAGTTCTGCAAAACCCTAACAGAAGAACACAAAAACTCCGATCACACTTTTTTGTTAAACGGGAAGCTGCAGTCTGCAGCAGATTTAACAGCATACAGGCAACTGAACAGAGATCTCAAAGTGCATGCGGGGGACAACTTTAATTATTTATATATATAAGAACTGAAATATAAAATTTGCTACTTTTTGAAAAATAACCCTGTATACACGCCATAAATATCATTGATGTTCTAAATGCCCAGAGGATAAATGGTTTGAAAAGAATGTATGAAAAAGTGAATGATAGTATTACAATGTAATTTTGTAGCTATGTAGCTACATCGTTTTGCGTGATAGAATAGAGCCATGCTGCAACTATATTATGGCCGTACTTCGAATAATTCGGCTCGATCGGCGAAAGACCCACGCTCTTCTCACGGTATACCATCCTAAAATAGCAGCATAATGCTGTCCTTAGCATAGTCCTGTCTTTCGTGTGGTGAGTGTAGAGCATGAAGCTAATACAAAGGGGAGACGGCATAAGCAACTGTGCACTGTGATTCTAAGTAGGTCCTGACGTCATCATAGTGGGCGTGGCTGTAGTTAGTACACTGTCAGCACTCGTCCGGTGCTCTTATGTGTTAAAAAATCGCAAATCGGTGTTTCGTAGTATTAAGAAGAAAAGGATGAAGTGTTGTGTTTTGTGTAAAAACTACTCAGATAGACGCTCTGATGTTATGGATGGCATCACATTTCATTTGTAAATAATTTTACACCTAATTTATTAGAATAGTTCTAGAAAAATCTTTTTGCGTCGGCTTTCAAATATAATTAAATATATTCGACACTATATGGCGACACTTTGTGTCATGTGAACTAAAAATATAAAGGTCCGTAGAGCTCAGTATTGGTAAAATAATCATACGAAGGTGCTGAAATTTGTTTTGCATTCAGATATAAAGAAATTTTAATCGCAAAATATTATTTTTATAGTTTATAATCATTTTGTGAACAGGCCATATTCTCGTCAAGTAAACCTCATAAAAATGACAAAAAGACAGGGCCGTAATTAGAATTAAATTATTTTTCCCAGTAATCCAACTTTTAATATTAAATGCAGGAAATTGTACTTAGGCTGATTTTCACCAAATGTTTAAGTTATATTTAAGTGACATCCTATATGCAAAGAATCACTTAAATACAATTTAAATATGTTTATCATTTCGTGAAAGTCAACCTTCAAGAAATATTTCTTTTATCCATAAAATAAAGTCTCTTCCGCTAGTTTATAAAATTTTGTGGACATGCCGCCATCTACCGTCAAGATAGCTAAGCTACATTGCAACATCGATATGGTCAGATTCGAGTATTTTTACTATTTATCGGTAGATGTAGATAGTGTAAAGTGGGCGGGGCTTTGCATCCCCTCACCCCGCAAATTGTCATGCGTTGGTTACATAGTGAAATTTAATTATAACGTCTCCTCTTTGTATTTGCTTCATGGTGTAGAGAACTGGCGGCTTTTTTATCAGTAACGAGGCGGCATTTCATATTATTCCTTGGGGCAGATATTGCATCTGCATTTTGACGCTGAATCGAATTCGAAATATTTGTTTTCTTGCACTTGTAACACCCGTATTTATATACAAGTAAAAGTAATTACTTGAGTAAAAGTAATTACTTGAGTAATGATTTGTATTCTATAGTTAAGTACTTGCTCCAAGTTAGAACTGTCAAAAGTTAGAATTCTCAGCCAAGTAATTGTCACTATTTCCTTTACTTAAGCACTACTTTAAGGTTATTTTGCATAAAAAATAGAAACTTTGGATATCATTGAAGCAACGATTATACAACATGTGACAAAAACCCTGTGGTTCCCGTTAAATGCGTTATCAGAATCAGTATTCAAACGTAAAGAAATAACTTTTATTTCAAAAAACTTGAACATTAAAAAAAATGTTAATTAAAAAAATAATTTGCGAATTGTATGTAATTTTATTACCTCTGCATTATCCGGACAATAAGAGGATTGTGAAAGAACCCCCTTTACCGATGTTCGTGTCAGTTAGAGGTAATAAAACCACATACAATTTGCAAATAATTTTTTTGAACAAAAATAAAATTTTAAAATGTTCAATTTTTTGAAAAAAAAAAATATTTCTTTACGTTTGAATACTGACTCTGATAACGTACTTAAAGGGAACCACAGGGTTTTTGTTACACGTTGTATGTATAATCTTTATAAGTAAAAAATCACGTGTCGGTACATAATCCATATGTAAAACTGACATTTAAATTTACAAGGGTCAAAAGTTTTGTTTCTCCAAGCATTCTTTTTTTTGTACTGACACAATTAAATAACAATAATGATATTATATACTTTATAATATTAAATAATTTATATAACATTATTGCTATTATAAATATCAAATAAAGTAATAAGTAATAATATCAAAGATATTATTGCAAGATTTTGTAAAAATAATCTAGCTTACGTTTGCTTTTTCATGAAAATAAACGCAGTCACGAAGTGTTGCCACACAGAAACAACCACTAAGCGTCGAGTGTTACTTGGGCATTTGCTCAAGTAAGTAAAGTGTGTTACTGAACTATAGAATGAGATTTTGTTATTAAGAATTCTAACCTTAAGTAACGACTTAGTGAAGGAATTACTTAGCAACGAGTAATTACTTCTTTATAAATACGGGTGTAAGTTTCCTCTCGTTGTTTTGGTTCATTTGCCTCATTGCCGTGCTGTGGTAAATCAGCAATTACATGGGTGATTGGAGTATGATACCGGGTAAACTCTTGCTCTACCAGTATTCGATTACAGTGAGGCAGGAGAGTACAGACATGAAGTCGTTAATGTATTGTTGCAGGAGGCGCTATCGCTGCACGTGCGGCTGCACGCGGGCGACCGCACGTGTGTGACCGACCTGTGCGCGCTCACCGCCGCGCTGCAGCCCGGCCTCGTCGCCGCGCACCACGCCTCGCACAGTCAGTCACACGTACCTGTATACACGTACACTCACACACACACACGCACCGCCGCGCTACAGCCCGGCCTCGTCGCCGCGCACCACGCCTCGCACAGTCAGTCACACGTACCTGTATACACGTACACTCACACACACACACGCACCGCCGCGCTACAGCCCGGCCTCGTCGCCGCGCACCACGCCTCGCACAGTCAGTCACACGTACCTGTATACACGTACACTCACACACACACACGTACCGCCGCGCTGCAGCCCGGCCTCGTCGCCGCGCACCACGCCTCGCACAGTCAGTCACACGTACCTGTATACACGTACACTCACACACACGCACCGCCGCGCTGCAGCCCGGCCTCGCCGCCGCGCACCACGCCTCGCACAGTCAGTCACACGTACCTGTATACACGTACACTCACACACACACACGCACCGCCGCGCTGCAGCCCGGCCTCGTCGCCGCGCACCACGCCTCGCACAGTCAGTCACGTACCTGTATACGCGTACACTCACACACACACGCACCGCCGCGCTGCAGCCCGGCCTCGTTGCCGCGCACCACGCCTCGCACAGTCAGTCACACGTACCTGTATACACGTACACTCACACACACACGCACCGCCGCGCTGCAGCCCGGCCTCTTCGCCGCGCACCACGCCTCGCACAGTCAGTCACACGTACCTGTATACACGTACACTCACACACACACACGCACCGCCGCGCTGCAGCCCGGCCTCGTCGCCGCGCACCACGCCTCGCACAGTCAGTCACACGTACCTGTATACACGTACACTCACACACACACACGCACCGCCGCGCTGCAGCCCGGCCTCGTCGCCGCGCACCACGCCTCGCACAGTCAGTCACACGTACCTGTATACACGTACACTCACACACACACACGCACCGCCGCGCTGCAGCCCGGCCTCGTCGCCGCGCACCACGCCTCGCACAGTCAGTCACGTACCTGTATACACGTACACTCACACACACACACGCACCGCCGCGCTGCAGCCCGGCCTCGTCGCCGCGCACCACGCCTCGCACAGTCAGTCACACGTACCTGTATACACGTACATTCACACACATACGCACCGCCGCTGTTTAACTGCACCCTAAGACCAACCAAATACACAGGAGAATGTGGTTGGTTGGCCGCAGTAATATGTGTGTCCATATACTGGACGCATTCTTATGTTCATCACCGTCATCGTCATTACAGCCTATAAAAGCCTACTGCTGGACGTAAGCTGTCCCATTGATTGACGTCATAGAGGGAACAATTGCCACTGCTGCCACGCTTTGCGGGCTGGTTGGCAACCACAGTTTCTTTATTTTTAAGTTGTTATCATAAACACGTTACTGCTCATTTTCTGATTTGATTCCCTCAGAAACGACCTCTATACAATAATATTAGTAATAATAATCGAAACAATATTAGTCCTTCATAAGTGTTCCGTTCTTTTCAGATCAACCAATCCAAATAATTTCTTCGAACCCCAACAATGTTGTACATACGCAAGTTATAGCAGCAGTAAGTAATACTTTTTTGTCAGAAGCTCAAATTTACACTAAATTATATATGTATGTTACAATTATTCTCAAGTTGTTAATATTATGTATCACAAAAGTAAGTAATTTTTTTTTTCTATTCTAGAATCATCATATGACACCGCCAAGACCTAAAATTCACTTTTGTGCTGACTGTGGTAAAGGTTTCGCTGCTAAACACGGTTTATTATCACATCACAGAAGGTAAGATAAATATGGTTCTACCTTTATTTCTTATAGAATAAGGGTGACAAATAAGCACACATACCCATATACATCTACATCTATCCTAAGAATCAAAATGCCGATGCGTCATCTCACATCTGAAGACTTAGATATCAGTAGACAGGTCTCTGGTTCTCTACACTCACCATACAAAACAGCATGATTAAACTGCTATGTTACGCTTGTATTCTGTGAGAGCGTCCTCCCCGGTCGAGCCTGCCCACTCTTGCTATAACCATAATATATCTGCAGGTTGGCTCTACTATGTTTAGTAAACAGGCTGTAAATAATATTTAAATATTCATATTTCTCTTGATAATTTCGAACCCTGCTATTTTATCATTCAGATTGTAAATATCAGACTTACAGAACGAATATCAGTATAACATTTTATTTTTTATAGGATCGGGTGACAAACGAGCACACAGTCCACCTGATGGTAAGTGGTTACTGTGACCCATAGACATCTACATCTATCCTCAATAAAGACTCAAGATGCAGATGCGTTTTCACCCGTGAGGACTAAGATGGAATGCCTCTTTGCCAGTAAAAAGGGTCTCCGGTTCTCTACACTCACCTTACGAAACAAAGCAGCGTTAACCTGCTATTTTACGCTGGTTTTCTGTGAGAGCGTGGTCCTTCCCCGTTCGAGCCGACCCATTCGTGCTACAACCATAATATAGCTGCAGCATGGCTCTACCACGTAGAAACATAAGCCTGTAAGTCGGGTAACACATAAGTATGTTATATGCAACAAGGAACACTCTATAGTGAGTTGTTACAAGTTTAAGGATATGAATAATCGCGAAAAATGGGAAGCGGTTAAAAAGGCGAAAATATGTTTCCAATGTTTGTCACCTAACCATAGGAGGTTAGAGTGCAGGGCGAAAAAGTGTGGTGTAGAGGGATGTAGAATGGCACATCATAGAATGCTACATCGATACCCCAATAAGAATACCTCGCCGCAAGGGGACGAGGGGGGTAAAGAGGCTCAAATTACAACTGTTAGTACAGTAAATGCACTGGCATGAGCATATTTAAAAATTATACCGGTCGAGTTGTATGGACCTAGAGGAAAAGTCAAGACCACAGCTTTTCTGGACGAAGGATCGACCATGACGCTCATGGAGGAGTGGATGGCTCAGAAGTTAGCGCCTCGCGAACGCAAAGAAGAATTACGTATTGAAGCCGTAGGAGGTAAGCGAATTAACGACAACAGTTCGTATCGCTTAAACGTTAAAATAAAAGGCATTTTCTCGAAAGACTTGGAGGAGATAAGTGTACAAATAATTAAGTCACTTAACCTTTCTCCGCAGTCTGTAAGCCGAGAATTATTGCGACGGTGTTCTCATTTAACACCGATTAAGGACGAGTTGATTTATGAGAGGTCCAGACCTACCATATTAATTGGTCAAGACAATTGGCATCTCATAGTTACTCGTGAATTAATTTCAGGAGGTAAGAACATACCTGTAGCATCGCTTACCAAGCTTGGATGGGTTTTACACGGTCACATATCGGGTGGCATTAAACCAATCTTTGTACAATTAAACATAAATTAAACATAAAATGTACAGAAATTTATTCCACTGCGGCGCACCCAAAAAGAAGGATATTACTATCGGCTGGCTGGCCCATTCTCCGTAAATAGCAGCGAGATTTAGATATGACAACTAAAATTTGTTATTTTGTACGCGGGTAAATGACAACGTAGAAAAGATATGACGACAGACAAGAATCGTAAAAAAATTGGGACTTATCATAACCTATCAAAAGTCCACTGCTAAACATAGGCCTACCCCATAGATTGCCTCCTAAGGCTCATTTGCGAAAGCTGTCAAGCTTGATAGCAAATTCAGTTTTTTAATATTTTATGTTCTTACCAGTAAGATCTCTCTCGATCTATCATAATATGTTTTAGAAAATGTCTCTCATAATCATAAAATATCACCTTTACCTTATTTTATTCTACAGACACCCTGACGGCAGTTGTACATTACGAACTCACGTCTGTGATCAATGTGGAAAAGCATTCTTCCAGAAAAACCATCTAATGTTACATCAGAGGCAACATATGGACCTCCCGCCCAGATCTGTAAGTTGAAATTCACATTTTGAAACATTTAAATTTCTTTTTATATTAGGGATACTTGCAGTTCATTCATTCGTTACAGCCCAAGCCTATTACGGAACATAGCTAGATACTTACAGAACATAGATTAGATAGATAGAAATAAACTACGGTGAAATTCCCCTATAGATTGCTTCGTGAGGGGATTTTGCCATAGTTGCCATGTATAGGAGGCGGGTTGGCAACCACAGTTTTTTTTTAATTATTTGCAGTTGTTTTTAAGAAAATACTGCTGCTCATTTTCATTTCGCTCTGTCGCCTCTTACAATACCCACGGGTTGATTGATATGAGGTAGTAGATTTCAAACATTCACAGATCATGGGCACAGGTCTCTATTTATGAGATGGTTTTGGAAGTTTTTAAGTGAAATATTTTAGCTCCCTATCATCTGATGGTGGGTGGATACTGTGGTCCATAAACAGATACATTTCTATTATCAATTAAGAATCAAAATGTATATAATATGCTGTCGTCTCTGAGGACTTAGATTTGTTATCTACACTCGAGTAGCGATAACCGCCCTTTAAATTAAGTATAAACTTTATGCTAACTATTTGAAACAGACAATCTTAATGTGTGTAGTAATATGTTAGGTGTTAATATTTCGACGACTCCCTCCTTTATTTACGCAAGCGATTAAGTCTGGTAGTAAAATGCTAATAAATAAATACATAAAATATTTATAAATACATACAATAATATTGCAAGTTAGAACTAGCAATATTTTGTTATAACTGCAAAAATGGTCCTCATAACTTACAGATTATTTGAACTCTAGCTTCTAAACTACGTCGAATCTGTACTTCGGACGTTAGTGTCTTCCAATGATGCCATTTTCTCCAGTTACAAAAGTATATGGCAGATAGGTTAGATATAAACATAGACAAAGAATATATCTCAGTACATCATATTATCCTCACTAACTTCGGTTTAGTTTGTGAATTATTATAAATGGTTGATAATGTCACCATGTCTTTAACATTACAGAACCAAGTACAGCAACAGCAGACGACACAACAAGCGCAACAGCAAGCACAACAGCAAGCGCAGCAGCAAGCGCAGCAGCAAGCGGCGCAGCAGGCCGCGCAGCAGGCTGCTCAGCAAGTGGCGCAGCAAGTGCAGCAGCAGGTCCAGCAGCACCAGCAGCAGCAGCAACACCAACAACAACAGCAGCAGCAGCAACAACAACAACAACAGCACCAGAATAGCTTGGAGATCGAGCAGCAGGAACACCAGCAGCCCACACATATACAAGTGGTGAGTATTGCAAGAACATACTTTAGGCGCATGACTAGTAGGCGGTTTCGGCACCCGGCCCCGCCCTTGTCCTCGCGCTTCTCCTAGTGACGTACAGTGGTGACTCATGAATCATCCGTATACTCGCTCACGGCAGTGATCCTTAACGCTTCTTGAGATTTTCGTTATTAGTCAGAAAAGATAATACTAACGAGGGTTTTCTTTCGATCCGGGTATACCTGGGTATATGAAATTTTTAGTACCCTGGTACTATTTTACTGTCAGACCCGGGTACCCGGGTACCCACTTTGATCGAAGAATTCATCAGAATACAAAGAAAAGGACTGAATGTTTAGAGGTGACTAACATCAACTGAAAGACCTTTTTCCACGCTGAATTTTTTCAAATTGAAAGCAGAAACCTATTTTCGGACCGCTCATTGCACACAATAGTGTTCTTGACAGCCCTTTTCTGTCAAGAAGAAAAAGAGTCCCTCACATCAAATCTATAATATGTTTAATTACTGACTGCCTCGTTGATCTAGTGGTTGTATTAGTTCGACTACTGATTATGAGGTCCCGGATTCGAATCCCGGGTCGGGCCAAAAAAAATCAGTTATTGAGTTTTTCCATCAAGAAATTCTCAGTAGCTGCCCGGAGTCAGGAAGTTCGTGGTGTTTCACCCTCGTGATTCGAAAAGCACGTAAAGCCGTTGGTCCTACGCCTGATCTCTCTCCGGTCGTGTCGGTTTACTGTCCCATTGGACTATGAGAGTGAGGGAATAGAGAGTGCACCTGTGCTTGCGCATACACTTGAGCACTATAATCCTGTCCTGCGCCGATGGCTAGTCTACGTTGAGACTGGCCGCCGTGGCCGAAATTCGGTCTAGAGGACATTATTATTATTATTATGTTTAATTTGAACTATGTGGTTTGTGTTAAGTTGATTTATTTTAAAATTGTTTATTCTTAGAAGAAAGATTATTGAGTTATAATTTTTTATTTTATAACATACCAAAGAGTTTTTGTAATGAAAAGTATTTTTAGTTCTTAATCAGTTTATGAAAATAAGACTGTTTAACTGTGTGATTTTTAATATTCGGCTATGTCAGAGAAGAAAGTTTATTTAGTTATATTTTTCTTATTTTATAACAGAATTTATTGTAGTAAAAAGTCATTCTAGTTCCTAATTAGTTAATGAGAACGAGGCTGTTTAATTGTGTGACTGATTGTACTATAAGTTAAGGAGATTTTTCGTAATAAAATAAAACATGATTATTATAAGAAAATTGACTCTTTTTCTTCAAAAATTGCCTGGGTATACCCGGGTATATGAAATAATAATACCCGATACTCGGGTAAAAAAAAGTTAAAAAAGTCGGGTACGCGAAAACCCTAATACTAACCCGGGGGCCATACAACACACATTTTATTCCATCCTCTGTGTGCCCATCGGAGGCAGATCTCAGCCATGGTTTGGTCGCTCCTGTAAAATAGCATCACACTATAAGCAGGAGTGCTACCGGGCCTGGGCTGACGCATCAACATCTCGGAATGCCAACACCAGCGCTCTTAAAAAGACGTATAATACCGCCTCCAGGTCCTTCAAAAGCGCGATTGCCAAAGCAAGGTCTGAGCACATCGACAGAATTGGCGAGAAGCTAGTTCGCCTTCCTTCGGGAATCCATGCATTCTGGTCTCTCGCCAAGGCTGTCCAAGGGAACTTCTGTCAGCCATTTCTTCCATCTCTGCACAGAGAGGACGACTCACTGGCCCATGTGCCGCAAAGGAGAAAGCCGATCTGTAAAGCTCTCTCTTTGCGTCCAACTCGATTCTAGATGACGGGGGGAACACACCGCCGACCATCCCGCGGTATGAGTGCTCCATATCGGATGTACGGTTTACACAGCGCTCGGTTCACAAAGCACTCTTCTCCCTGGACGTCAGCAAGTCGAGTGGGCCTGATGGAGTCCCTCCCATTGTGCTGAAGTTTCAACGCGTCTTTTCCGGTACTTCTACTCCCAAGGTGTAGTCCCTTCATGGAAGACAGCTTTGGTCCACCCGATCCCTAAAAAAAGGCGACCGCTCAGACCCGTCCAACTACAGGCCTATCGCCATCACCTCCTTGTTCTCCAAAATAATGGAATCTATTATAAACAGCCAGCTCATGGGGTACCTTGAGGATCACCAACTGATTAGTGACCGCCAGTACGTTTTTCGTCGGGGTTGATTAGCCGGTGATCTTCTGGTCTACCTGACTCATAGTCGGGCGGAGGCAGTAGCGTCTAAGGGGGAGGCGTTGGCCGTTAGTTTGGACATAGCAAAGGCCTTCGATCGGGCCTGGCACAAAGCGCTTCTTTCGAAGCTTCCTTCCTATGGGCTTCCCGAGAAATTTTGCAAATGGATCACCAGTTTCCTTAATGATCGGAGCATCAAGGTCGTAGTAGACGGTGCATGTTCTGATTTCAAGCCTATCAACGCTGGTGTTCCACAAGACTGCGTGGAACACCAGCGTTGTTTCAACCAACACTGTTTCTCCTGCATATCAATGATATGTTGCAAACTGGTAACATTCATTGCTATGCAAACGACAGCACTGGTGATGCCTTATATACCGGCCGTGCCAATATTTCTCGGGAAAACGTCGCCGAGTACCGGGACAAACTTGTGTCTGAAGTCGAGTCTTTGCTGAACAGTCTCGGATTAGGGGTGACTAAATCTAGTCCAGTTCAATCCCCAGAAGACACAAGTTTGCGCGTTTACCGCTAAAAAGAACCCCTTTGTCGTATCTCCTCAGTTTCAAGTCACTCCCCTTGCTGCCTCAGCTAGCATCGGAATCCTCGGCGTCGACATATCGAATAGTATGCATTTTCGTGGTCACTTGGAAGGGAAGGCCAAGTTGGCCTCTAAAAAGCTTGGCGTGCTCAGCAGAGCGAGACAGTATTTCATGCCGGCACATACCTTCCAACTTTACAAAGCGCAAGTTCGGCCTCACATGGAATACTGTTCTCATCTCTGGGCCGGGGCACCCCAGTGCCAGCTCCTTCCACTTGACCGCATCCAGCACATAGCGGTTCGAATCGTCGACGACCGAGATCTTTCTGATCGGCTCGATACACTGGTACTGCGTAGGGATGTTGCATCCCTTTGCATTTTCTATCGAATTTACCACGGGGAGTGCTCTGAGGAATAGGGTATTTTACAGCATGTAAAAAAAATCAAAGAATATTTATAAAAATGCATTATAAATTGTATATTTCAATTTAAAGAATTTTTTTTTATCTGTGCCTCAAATCTGCAAAACGATGTCCGCCATATTAGATAGTATCGACATATAGGACGGATTCGTAAAAGCGAGTTTATTTCTTCGCTTTTAGCACTAATGTAATAGATATAATAATATAAGCTTAGGTGAGAAAAACTTTTTGTTATATTTTTTTGTACAAATTCTCAGACGAAATAAAAAGTCACTTTTTTATTTGGTCTGAGTACAAACCATGTCTTTATTCCCATATAATAGAAGAAAACAGGAATTAAGTAAAACACTGCACTGCACTTGCAAGGGCTATCAAAATGGCCCACAAAGGGCTGGACAGACGAGCGGTTAACCTAATCTGTTACAAAATTTGACTTGCAATAGGTACCTATCATGTCATGATGTTTTGTTTTGTTTAATCGATAGTTAAATATAAGTCATACTTACATCAAAGTGATCTTCACAGAAGTATAGTTTACATTTTGTAGACAATGCCTTCTTGCCAGTTTTAACCAAGTATTTCTCATATTTAAATCAGTTGGCACTTTAATCCATACCTTCCCCGGCGTTCTTATGCTCGTATTTTTGCAATCAGGCACAACACACCAATAATATAGATGCTAGCTCATTATTAAACATTCAAAAGTATCTTATTTCTTTGCAAAATTGTCAAAATTCTAGGACAGTGACGTCACGAGTTAAACAGTATGGCGGCTAGCGTTTTCACGCGAAAATTTAAAACGATAGATTAAAAGTAATTTTTATTTTACTATTCGGTTTTAAAAATATTATATAAAATTATAGTTAATAGTATAGGGTTCATTATCACTCTAGGATTCATTTAAAACACTTTGAAAATGGGTGTAATAACCCTATTGTTCGGATTAATCCCAGCCGCCGAATTTCACGAACGCACATCGCGTCAAAATTCACTGGAAAATATTCACCTCACCATCGGGATGCTTGGCGGTCCACGACTGTGCGTTTTACTAGGAGTTTTTTTCCTCGTACAACTTCTCTGTGGAACTGTTTACCACCGGCGATTTTTCCGAACCGATACGATTTAGGGACCTTCAAGAAAAGAGCTTACACCTTTCTAAAAGGGCGGCAACGCATCTGCAATTGCCCTGGTGGTGCGCGGTAGTCACTTACCATCAGGTTAGCCGCATGCTCGTTTGTCCCCTCTTCTATAAAAAAAACACAAGATGATGGGAATAAAATAAATTAATCACGTTGAACGATTACGGCGGAGTTATAGGGAACAGTAAGGTTGGGAAAAAGCAAGACATTTCAAAATAAATGTGCACGAGTCCTGACTCAAACTCACTCTTCGAATGTCAGGCATGAAGAAATGTCGGAATTAGAAAAATTGAATTTCTTTTTCTCGAAACTAATTCGAAAATATCAATCAAAATCGGCTAACTCTTCAATCTCTTTTCTTTAAAATATAAATAAAAAAATATATATTTTGAATCTATACAAATAAATAAAATTGAAGTGTCTGTTTGTAATGTCAAAATAACAGCTTGTTACTAAATGCATATGAATGTATATATACGCTACTTATAAAAAAAAAAACCACAATTTTTAAAATTTTTGTCTGTCTGTCTGTCTGTTTGTTACGGCTAATCTCCGAAACGGCTACACCGATTTCGACGGGTCTTTCACTTGCAGATAGTTGATGTTATAACGAGTAACTTAGGCTACTTATATTTTAGAAAAAGAATTAGGGTTCCGCGCAACATAATTAAAACTCTAAATTACACGCGGGCGAAGTTGCGGGGAACAGCTAGTATTCGAATAAATTGTATATATATTAAGAAGTAATGCAAATGTATTAAGAATTTGACATTTCTTTGTAAGAATGTAAAATAAATGAGTAATAATGGTATATACGTATAGTCAATAGTTGATAGATATCGATTAATCTGAAGTTGTCGCCAGATGCTGTAGTGTTGGATAAAATAAGTACAGAACACACATAAAAGGAATTCCTAAAGTCACAGCTATGATCTATTGTTTTAAATTTGGTTTGGAAATTATCATTTTGCTCACAATTTACTTATTAATTTGATACACTTTTTATGTCATGTTGCTTTAAATTAAATTACTCTTGTAATTTAATTTAAAGCAACATACCTGGTACTTTGATTGTCAAACTACTTGCGAAGAGTGACGATTAAGATTAAATGGACATGGGAATTCCCATGGGTTATGAAGATAAATAACAATAATTATATCACAAACAGAATTAGTAGTATTTAGGTTTAGGAACACCGTTTCTGCTTAGGAGTTAATTTGGTTTGGTACAACCCTCTTACCTTTACCGTGTAGTGGCTGTGTAAGAATATCTACTACCCAATATCATCCCGTTGGTGTTGTAAGAGGTGACAGAGGGAGACGACTAATCAGGAGATGAGCAGCAGCATGTTCCTAATAACGACTAAAAAAAAACTTGGGTTTTTTATTTAGGCTTGCGGTTTAATTTTTTATATATTAATATAAGAAGCGTAGGAACTATAGCAAATATCCCCCCTATGAGGCAATCTAAGGGGAGGTCTATGGTTATTATTGGACTTTAATAGGCTGTAATGGTCTCTTACCTATTTATGCTGCCAGGCAGCAGTGCGAGTACTGCTATGTTCTGGTCTAAAGTGTATATAGAGCCAGTATAAAAATTATACGATGTGGCATTCCATCTTAGCCCTCTGTGATGACTGCATATCAGTAACAATGTTTGTTTAAATTTCGTTGCAGGTGTCCATGGTCTGCAATAGCCACTTGTCACCAGGTGGACTGTTAGTTCGATGTAAAAAGGAAGTAAATTAATTGAATTTTTCTGCAGGTGACGAACCGGTCGGGGCAGGTGATCGGCAACCAGATCGTGGTGGGGACGGTGGGCGGCGTGCAGCGGCGCCTGCTGGGCTCGCAGCTGCACATCATCGGCCGCGACGGCAAGCCGCTCACCGCGCAGCTGCCGCACAAGCCCAGGCACCACAACGCCAAGTGAGTGCACACACACGCACACACACGCACACACACCCGCACACTCACACACTTGCAGCTGTACATCATCGGCCGCGACAGCAATCCGCTCACCGCGCAGCTGCCGCACAAGCCCAGGCACCACAACGCCAAGTGAGTGCACACACACGCACACACACGCACACACACCCGCACACTCACACACTTGCAGCTGTACATCATCGGCCGCGACAGCAATCCGCTCACCGCGCAGCTGCCGCACAAGCCCAGGCACCACAACGCCAAGTGAGTGCACACACACGCACACACACCCGCACACTCACACACTTGCAGCTGTACATCATCGGCCGCGACGGCAATCCGCTCACCGCGCAGCTGCCGCACAAGCCCAGGCACCACAACGCCAAGTGAGTGCACACACCCGCACACTCACACACTTGCAGCTGTACATCATCGGCCGCGACGGCAATCCGCTCACCGCGCAGCTGCCGCACAAGCCCAGGCACCACAACGCCAAGTGAGTGCACACACACGCACAAACACGCACATACACGCACACACACGCGCACACTCACACACTTGCAGCTGTACATCATCGGCCGCGACGGCAATCCGCTCACCGCGCAGCTGCCGCACAAGCCCAGGCACCACAACGCCAAGTGAGTGCACACACACGCACACACACGTACATACACGCACACACACGCGCACACTCACATACTCGCAGCTGTACATCATCGGCCGCGACGGCAATCCGCTCACCGCGCAGCTGCCGCACAAGCCCAGGCACCACAACGCCAAGTGAGTGCACACACACGCACACACACCCGCACACTCACACACTTGCAGCTGTACATCATCGGCCGCGACGGCAATCCGCTCACCGCGCAGCTGTCGCACAAGCCCAGGCACCACAACGCCAAGTGAGTGCACACACACGCACAAACACGCACATACACGCACACACGCGCACACTCACACACTTGCAGCTGTACATCATCGG